TGGGGAATTCTGGGAGTTGAAGTCCACACGTCTTAAAGTTGCCAAGGTTGAGAAACATTGCTTTAGAGATATGTACTATATTTGGAATATTTTAATAATATCACTAAACCCATCAGTCTTCAGAATGTTGGACATTATTAGGCTTATTTTAATATAGAAAAAACCTAACTAATGAGATTCATATATATTTTGACACGAGCAGTTTAGAGCAACAGATATAATCCTTTCACGACAATAGACAGAATTTATTTTGAACACGGAAACTGCACTCTCCAGGAAGAAACCCCTCGCACGCTGTCCTGGATCAACATAGCTGTTGCAGACTCCCCAGACTCATCACGGCCTTTGAATCTTTCTCTTCAATCATTTACTTTTTTCCCCGCGATTTATGGATGTCACCTGTGCTAGCAGAAACTTGTAAGTACCAGGCCCAGAGGTACCGTCTCTTACACATGCTTAGCTGAAAATGCGACAAACAGAGAGTCATAGTTAAGGAAATAAAGCAGTCCGCTGAGCCAAAAGGAGTTGGGGGGGTGGGCGATCAGGTCTTCCGCAAAGAGGAAAAACGTTCCTCTCTTTCGGAGCATCCAAATGTGGAATGTTTACAAAATGCTCATTAAGAGAAAACGGGATTGTGAGATAGCAGCCGAAATCTGGTGGACAGCTTACACTAGAGGAGATAAGGGAGTGAAAGCTACCACAGGAGACAGAGCAGGCCATGTCCAATTACTGAGACCTGGATAAAGGGGGTGTGGGGAACAAGAATGGGAGAGAGGCTGATCACAAGTTCCAAGCTTGTCAACCGTCGGTGACACAAGCCGTATATAACCCTTGCGGGGGGATAAAACACTGGAGTCACTTAGACGGCACCCGAGCAAACTTGGTAGAGCACTGGGGCCAGTTTGAATGAAGTCATGGAGTCTGTAGCCTTCCAGATCTGGGCCACCGTTTCCCTCCTGGCCCACCTTGCAGATGGTAGCCCCATCATGAGTCTAGATGTACCCCTGATGGACGAAGAGGTGCCGTTCTTCGATGAACAGGATGCACTGCTTCAGAATTTGCAAAACGAGCTCCTGAAGGCGCTTAATCTCTCAGGCATCCCCCTGCAAGAGACAGCCAAGGTGGACCCTCCAGAATATATGTTAGAACTCTATAATAGGTTTGCCAGGGACAAGACCTTGATGCCATCGGCCAATATTGTTAGAAGCTTCAAAAATGAAGGTAAGTTCTTGAATTTTCTTCACCAGTTTAGGAGGACCAAGTGGGATACGCAGCCAATTATCTCACTGTGTTTAAAATGATTAGATTACAACTGTAACTGGAGGAAAGGAAGATTATTGTTTTAATGGAGCAGAGGGGAAGTTCGAAAGAGAAGATATTAGCAAAGAGATCCAGCTGGCCTAGCGTTGAGTTGTCTTACTTACTGCTTAATGGACCACAAATCTAATCCCCCAGCTAGTTGACTTTCACACTGCGAGCTATTTGTAGGATTCCTCAGATTGGCTGATTTAACCAGATTTTATCTTTTGTGTAAGCTTTGAACATCTGATGAAATCCTTAAAGATATTGTCATTGTGCATTCTCAAGTATTGTCCTACAGATGTAGAATTCCATGTGCAAGTCGCTTTCAGAACTTCTCGGCATTACTTGTGATATAAACCTCATTCTTTTTTTTCTTTTTTCAAGGTTATCATGTTATTTTATAAGCACAGGTTTTATAAATACACATTTCAAGCTCAGTAATTTTTCAGTTTTGTTTTTAACACATCGGCAGAGGGACTTTGCAGGCACACAACTTAGAAATTAGTTGTTTTAAGGTATACTTATCTAAAGGGAAGGATTCAGAATGAACAGAAGGTGTAAGAATCAGAAACCAAACTGGTTTAAAAATCAGCACTCTGCCCCATTTGTTCATCTGAAATGTGTTAATTTGCAGAAACTAAAACCTTTCTTTTCTTTGAAAGCTTGTGATACAAAACAGTTTCATAGCACATGGCTATCTTGCATTAGTGAAATACAACACAACTGAATGCCATGGAAGCCATCATGAAGAAAATACCCTTTTTAAATGCATTTTTAATGCATTTTTGTCTTGCAGAAATGGATTTTTGCAAATAATTTTAACACCTCAGTCCAAAACGCACTTAAGTTAGAGTGCTTGAGTGAACAGCTTTTTTAGTCATAGGTCAGCATTAATATGCTTTACTGCAAAATGCTTCTTCTTAATTATGGATCTTGCCGTTGACACTCATTTCCATGGATCACAGCATAAGGGTGTACGGTTATGCTTTCCAAAAAGCTAAGATCTTGGAACATCCGCTAACTCTATTATAGCATAACTTTCATGGACCACAGACCACATTCTCAGCTAGACTTCTGCTGCTTCTTGCAATCAGCCTTTTTTGTGGTCTCTAGTCTACAATAACTTATAAATAAGTGTTATGGTTTTTATGACAATACTCTCTAATACAGCTACCTCTCTTCTGCAAAAAAATTAAAACTTCTTTAAGGCCATTAAACTGAAAATGCATTGTTCCCAAATGAACCTCATCTGGGTGGAGTAAATTGTATTCTGCTTTGTGAAGTTTGCCACGTTAGCTTTCGTAACATCTCAGCCTGCCATTTTGTCACCAAACCTTCACTTGATCAATGGATTTTTCTGCCTCTTTCTTATGGGCCCCTCCATTGTCAACGGTTAGGGCAAGTTTTTGTTTGAAAAGTGGTATCTCTTCCCATTTTTCTCCAACTTAACTTTCTCCTGCGGCCACTTAACAGTTTAGTTGCAGAAAATCAAGTTTCTTTCTCTAAGCTGCAACACCAAGGTTCTTCAATGTCAATTCAAAACTAGATTTAGTCAGGTTTAAATGTGATGTACAAGAGGGACAGTACCTTACTGGGTGCCCATACATCCTGTATAAATGTAAAATATAATGTGATTTCTTAAAACATTTTCAGAACAGATTTCACGGCCCATATGCTTTAATGGAATACGGAGGTACCCTCTCCTTTTCAATGTGTCAATTCCTCACCATGAGAAGATAACCTTGGCGGAGCTGAGGCTCTACACTCTGGCAGAGGACAGACTGCTCTATGAAGGTCTCGACAGGAAGGTCACCATTTTTGAAGTGCTGGAGAATGAACATGGAGGAGGAAAAGAGGGAGAGGAGAGGAAGGTGAAAGTGCTGGCATCCAGACATATTTACAGCACCGACAATGAATGGAAAACATTTGAGGTCACGGAGGCCATCAGGAAGTGGCATCACTCTGATTCAACCACTCACTGGCTAGAGGTGCAGGTGGAGTACCGAGGAGGAGAGAGTCCCAGTCAAGGAAGAGACGGAGACATAGACATCAATTTGGAGACCAAACACGAGCCTTTATTAATTGTGTTTTCAGATGATTACAGCCATGCCAAGAAAGAAGAAAAGTATGAGCTGAAGGAGATGATGGAGCATGAACAGATGCAAGACTGGCAGGATTTGGATTTGCGAGACTTCTCCAGTGGCCCCAGTGAGGAGAAGCTGCTTCAGATAAGGTCCAACATCATCTATGACTCCACATCCAGGATCAGGAGGAATGCAAAGGGAAGCACATGCAAAAGGACTTCTCTCTATGTGGATTTCAAGGAGATTGGCTGGGATTCCTGGGTCATTGCACCACATGGGTACGATGCCTACCAGTGCAAGGGGGCCTGCAACTTTCCTCTGGATGGCAGCCAGACGACCACCCATGCCATGGTCCAGACTTCCGTTCATTTGAATGATCCCCAGAAAGCTTCTCCTGCCTGTTGCGTCCCGACCAAACTGGACCCCATCTCTTTGCTCTTCTTGGACAAAGGGATAGTCACCTTCAAGCAAAACTATGAGGGCATGTCAGTCTCAGAATGTGGCTGCAGATAGTAGCAGGAGGGGGGCTCTTGCACGGTGCTTTTGGCTTTCACGGGGTTTCATGGTTCAGTCTGAACATTTGTGCAGATTCAGTCAGCTCATTGAACAAGGAAGAGGGACACAGGAGACAGGCAGCGGATTAGAGAGGATGGCTTGGAGCAGAGGTGGGGGTGAGGGTGGGAGGAGACGATTGTCCTGCTAGGCAGCGGCAAGCAGAGGCATCTCGTTAGCTTTAGCTAGAGCTGAATACTGGAATAGATGGGCCTTAGCCTCACCCAGCACCCCTCTTCTCCTACAGCATCACAGCCCTTCCTCCCCACTTGTCCATCCCAGACGTTTTACAACTTAAGCAATCCATTTCAGTTCCCTTCCAATTCCCTGCCGCTACAGCTGAGCCAACATTTGTCAGAAGATTTAACAAAAGTCCCAAAGCCACTTTTTCTTATCACACCTCTGGGAAACAATGGCTGCTTTGCAGAATCACCTCCAAGAATTCTCCAGCATTTTTTTTTATTTCTATCCTTTCCTGCATAGCATGAGAAAGCTGCCAATCCAATTCTACTGACCCTTGGAGAGGAAAACAGTCCAGGAAGGAAGCTTAATCCAGTTGCCACTGTTAGTGGTGATCTCTTGCCCTAAAAACCCATTCAATAGCTTCTCTTTACAACGGAGGGGCAGTAAATTCTCCCCTCGGTTTTTTATTGGGCTAAGAAGTTCAAGAAAATGTTTCTAAGCTGTGACACATGGGGTTCATACCTCTCATTAAGCCATGGTTTGATTAATCACAATTTATTGAATAAATCACAATTGATTGGATTCATACAACATACTAAGCCAAAAGCAAACTGTTAAGTGAATCCAAGCCCTAGCATTTTCCTTGTTTCCTTGCTATTCTAAACTCACAAAAAAGACTGGCCCGTGATTGTCTGACATTGGTCAGAAAGGTTGTGCCTCCAAAATCTCTTTTCCTATCCAACTTTTATAAAATGCTCTTCGCCACTTCCTTACCCTTTTCAGTATTGTTCTGCATAGTCAGTTTAGTGGAGCCCACCAGATAGCATAACCAAGACAGCCTTCAGAGAAACTGCATCTAATTGCTTTGGACACACAGTTCAGATTTGGGTACACGTGATACGAACCTTATTCATCTCTTGCATAGATGTCCTGCTAGATAACTGTTGAATTATATCAATGAAGCAAATGCAACTCAGAATCTGGCTGCTGGAGGCTGGCTGTTCTTTCAATCACTGCTAAAATGTGGGTGGGGGGAGGGTTCTTTCGTGCTTAAATTTCAAGACTCTTTGGACCGAGGGGGGCTTCTCCTTAATGGAGCTGTCAGTTCACGAAACGGTTCTACATCCCACTCTCCAGCGTGTACAGTGGAAGTCACATGTCATGTTTCCACCACTCCTCTCCGATAAATCCTTGTGATAAGAAGGTGTTGGAGTTGAGAAACAATAGGCCTGGTGGTGCTTTATTTATACTAAGCTGGAAATTGGTCAGATTCTTTGGAAAGTGTAATTGACGTTGTCTCTCCAGCCCTCGGCCGTGGCTTACTGTACTACGCCCCTCCACTGCTTTACACTTTTAAGGAGAAGCTATCTTCTCAGAGAGAGATGACGGACTGGTCTTTGAGAGCACCAACCTGGGCCCTTCAGGAGACTTCTCATCCAAAGCACTTGCCGAAGGACTTGTGGAAAGCCACCTACCTACGTCCATGCAGCCATTATTTATTGATCTATTTATTGACTGTTGTCCTTGTAATATAATGTAGAATACAAAATGTTTTATTTTTGTGCTTGTATGTCAAACACACTTGGATAATCCTATATATTGAACCATGTTGATGCTAATATCATCCCCCAATTTCAATGGACTTTCTTCCTCATTGTCTTTGTAAATATATTAATTTGTCCTTGTTTTTTCATCTCTCAGTGTAATACAAAATAGAATCGCTTTCAAGCCTAAGGTCCTTGAATATAGAGGGTGTACATTTTCTCATATAGCAGAAACTCTAAATGCTGGTGATTTTACCACCATATTCCAGCTTTGCTGGGGAAATCCCATTACCAAACATACAGTCAGTTCTGGCAAGACTTCTGACTGGGTCTTGAGGTAGATAATAGCCACAAGTGCTAAGTCTTCAAGGGGGCTTGGAGGGATCCATCACCAAACCTCACCATCAGAGCCTCACTCTTGTAGCTGTTGTTCTTCAGAATAGCTGCTGCGGTGGCCCTCAACCTCTTCCTCTGCTCCAGATGTTTCTGCTCTGGCCACAGACGCTATCTTGCTCCACGTTAATATGAATCAAAGCCGTGAGAAATCTATGGGGAAATCTACCCACTTCAGATGTCATGTTCCTGCCCAGAAGTGCCAGCTTTTGAGGGCAGAGCATCTAGTCATCTTGGCAGCCTGGGTCGGAGATTCAGAGCTAGAGAGGACAGCAGAAGTCCCCTGTGGTGAGCAAGGCATCATGTTGAGTGATCACCAAGGAGCTGGCCAGGAATGGTGGCTGGGGCAGTGGCCTCATTATAGCTGGGAGGAAAACTGCTAAGCGTGCACTGACCTCAGGACTCAGTTTGGGCTCCAGTGCAGCAGATCAGGATGTAGCCACTTGGACTAGGACCTAACCAAAAGCTGCAACTCTGTCTGATCCAAGGGCCGTTCTGACTGACAAACATGAGGAAATCACAAAAGGATGCACGAGTTTTTGCTTTTTGCAACTGAATGGGGTAAAATTTGCAGACATTACAGATGCTGCTGAGGGATGAAGACTGATCAGTTTTAGAGAAATCCTGTAGGTGCTGATTCTGAAGGTAGAGTCACACACACACACACACACACACACACACACACGTTGTGTATGTGTAGATTTTGAGAATATGGCCCAATTTCAGTCAGAAGAACCGAGGAATGTTTTTTGTTTTGTTCTGTAGAAAGATTATTTTAGTCAGAGAATTCAGTAATGAACAAATTCAAAATTCCTTCCACCTGTTTGGTCTGCAGTGACAATGAAAACTAAAATGGCAAAGCCATAGGTGTGGGGGTTTGCTGCTTTCTGGACATGATGAAATGGGTTTTTTTTCCTTCTTTCTTTTTTTGCAGAAAGAACATTATTTAACAAGCATTTAGATTAGTAGGATGCAGCCTAAAAACTAGTGTTCATTTAATTTTAAGATTGTCATTATAATCTTCCTGTACCTGCCTCGTGCATGTCAGACAAACTAAGAAGGCAGTGGGCATTCATCGTCCTTTTTTTAATATCTCCTCATCTGCTGCAAGGAAAGAATCTTCTCAAAACGTGCAGATTGGGAAAACTGTGATTCCCTTTGATTCTTTGTCCAAATCTTGGCTCCATTCTGCTCTTCCCGCCATCCTCCATGCCGACATTTTATAGAGAAATTAAAACAATATGGCAGCCTTTGCAAACACACTGCCTATCATCCATCCATCTGTCTGTCTGTCATGTATGTAGCCTGAGCAATGGGGGATGTGCAAGATTCATAAAGCCATCGGTTTCTGGAAGCAGCCACGATGACATCACATGCACCATGATATATGTAAGGTCACTGGTCTCCCCTGGCCTCCCTGAGACACTCAGATAGCACAATTCATAAAAACTGAGCAAAGCCAGAGAAACCTATGAGAGACCAATAGTAAACTATCTGTCAGCCCTCACCCCTATCTCTGTTCAATGTTCTGGTGTTGGAAGGGCTTGTAAAGGAAAACATACCATGTGTGCAAATCCCTTGTTAAGCAACAGCATGATTTTGAGGCACCCCCAAATATTCAGCAGCAAACACTGTGTTGGGTGGTCCTCATCTCAGTTAGGGCCTGGTTACGGGAGGGACCGCTTGTCTCCCATCTTGGCTCTCTCTCTGGCCAATTCAATCCAGCAGGGTTGGCACCCTCCGGGTCCCCTTGATTAAAGAATGCCGTCTGTTGGGACCCTGGAAGTGCACCCTCTCTGCCATAGTGCCTGCCCTCTGGAGTGGGGCTCCCTCGAGGTCCAGATGGCCCCCACCTTGCTGGTCTTTCGGAGAGCCTCGAAGACCTGGCTCTTCGCCCAGCCTTTGGCGAGGGGGAGCGAAGCCCCCTTCTGCGTCGTGTGGGTTTGCTTTGGTTGTTGTCAGGTTTGTGCATCTTCAGTTCTTGGTTTTCATGGTTGCGTTATTTTATTCTTCTGTGGGTTTTTATCTGTGAACTGCTCAGAGTTGCTGGGAGTTGGGCGGTATAAAAAAACCCCCCATAAATAAATAAATAAAACTACAAGTCGCTGGATATGCTGCAATTGAAGTCTACAAGAGGTTTCTTGAGCACCTACTGTAAATGCATATCCAAAGCTGCTGATCAGTAAAAACAAGGCTGTTAATCTTTAAATATTGTGTTATTTGCATTATTTCCACCCAGGGCTGATCCCCCTGGCCCTGTCCACTTCCAGTCTTCATGGTCTCGAGCAATTTGGAAGAATGTTCATCTTGTGGTCTCTCTGTAGCTTGTCAACATCTATTAGAAGTTCTTAAGAAAAACATCAGAGCATTGGTTTTAGACCTCAAATCTTGAAATGAATGAGCAGAACATTGTATGGCTATTTATGTTACATCTCTTACTTCACCATTCTGCCATTCTTCTTGAGAGACAAGCTGAAGGTCTTCTTCTCAGCCATTTTATGAGATATTTAATAAAGTCCTAACCTCTCTAGTTCTAAATTCATTTTTCCAGTGTTGCTGACATTGTCCCATTTACGATGACAGCAAATGAAACCTCATTTCTCCTTTATTATTATATGTATCAGGTCTGCCAGATGAATTTTAGATGAATTTTCTTTTATCAGACAAAAAAAATTGTTACCCATAACTTTGCAAAGTTTTGCAAGGCTGCTGTCAATATTTGTAAATGATCTTGGATATCAGAATGTCCGTGGAGGGGGTGTAAAAAAGATGACCACAACCATGCAATCCGCTCCTTTTTACCTGTGTTGTGTGTGTATGACACACGTTAAATGGGGTGAGGCTCTGTTTTACATAGTTGCAACCACCATCTTGAATTTTTGGACAACCCCTATGGACACCTCTGTTGAGTACTATTAACTAATAATATTAATATACTTGCATGGATCTCTTTAGGCAATTTTTACATTCCTAGAATTTAAATGCTACTTTATTTTTGCTGGTTCCTTTCCAATAAAAATACATTGTATTGATTGATTAAAGGTTTGGGCTGCAGGCAGTGCTGCAGGGGTCAAGGTGCCAAGTCATATGTTTCTGCATCGACTCCTGGCAACTGCCTGGACAAGTCCCTGCAGACCTTTATACAGTACAAGTAATGCTTGACTTACAACCATTCATTTAATGACCGTTCAAAATTACAACAGCGCTGAAAAAAGTGACTTACAACCAGTCCTCACACCTATGACTGTCACAGTGTCCCTGTGGTCACGTGATCAAAATTCAAGCACTTGGCAACTGGCATGTATTTATGATGGTTGGGCCATGCTGGGGTCACGGGGGCTTCTGACAAGCAAAGTCAATGGGAGAAGCCGGATTTGCTTAATGACTGCAGCAAAAAAGATTGTAAAATTGGGCACGATTCACTTAATAACCACATCACTTAACGACAGAAGTTCCGGTCCCAATTGTGGCCGTAAGTCGAGGACTACCTGTAAATCAAAACCAGCACCAGCATTAGTAACCAGTGTACAGCCCACAATGTCACAGTTATGTGCAGTAGCGATCCTCACCTGCCAGACTCCCAAGAGGATCTTGGGGGACCCCCAAGGGTCCTAGGACCACACTTTAAAAAATACTGGTCTAAACAACAGGAGGCTGTCTTCTTAATTTTTGTTATCAAAAATTTCAGGAGACTGTAGGCTATGGTTTATTCACCAAAAAATACTTTGTACTTATCAGACCCCATTGCATTTGTATAGAAAAAGGAAGAAATTATCCTGTGGCTGGAAATGCATTGAAAATAATGCCTTATTCAAATATGTTTTTGCAATGTCCTAAAATTATTATAGACTGGGAAGAAGTCATTACATATATTAATTTGGCTTTGAGACAGATTTTAATATTTTCAGACATCCGTATTCTTTTGAATTACATACCCGTAATATGGAAATTGACGCCATAATTCTTTGTGCCATTCTTATTGTCCTTCAACACTGGAAAGATAAATTTATGGCTCCAGTTGCTCAATGATTGAAGAATGTTTGTTACTTGTGATTGATTTGCATGGTTACTTATAGACATAGACTATGTATGGATAACAATAGTAAATGAATTAAAAATCTGAGCAGAAATTTCCATTTTAAACCTATGGCATTAGAAATGATCTGAGGTAGCCAAAATACACCTCCTTTCTTTTATGTATACATTTATTTGTTAACTATGGATTATAATTTAGTAGATTGGGTCAGTCTACTCAACTGGCATCAACAAGAGTGAGCTAGATGGTCCTATGTCTCACCATAGAGCAGTGTTTCTCAACCTTGGGAACTTTAAGAAGTGTGGACTTCAACTCCCAGAATTCTCCAGCTGGCTGGGGAATTCTGGGAGTTGAAGTTTACACATCTTAAAGTTGCCAAGACTGAGAAGCACTGCCATAGAGCAAGGTTCTTCTCTCCTTAGGGCCCAGGTTCACACACTGCATTGTCAAAATGTGGTGTGAACCTAGTCATTATGATTTGTATATGATGGGTTGTAAACTTAGTGTATAATTTTAGCCACCCATGATTTATTAAACTGAAGCCACCCTATGATTAAACAAAAATGATTTAGTGTGATGTGTGAATCCATTCATTGTTTGCATATTAAACTGCTGCCTGAAGTTAAACCTTTCATGCATCCAACAGACAGACCCTCTTTCCTACATTGTTCTGTATTTGGGAAGACAAATGAAACTGTTTAAAGAGAGCAGGGC